GACGGTGGACATGAGATGGCTGGGTGATGGTTGATGCATCGTGGGGTGGATAGCCTGAATGATGGAAGGGACAGAGCCTTGTGAAGACATCACACCGCATCCACTGTTCTCCGTCTCTGTTGCCCGGCGTATGCAGGTGCATACAGCCGTGGCGATCCCCCGAACGCGGGGGGGAGAGCTTGTGCCCAAGGGCACATTTGTGAAGGCCAGCCCTTCTAAGCGGTGGTTTTCTGACATCGCAGTGTTCCGGTCTGACGAAGAGGAGTGGTACGCAAGGTGCCTCTGCATCTTCCGCGCGGAGGGGGCGGACGGAGCGATGGGGCGACACGTGTACGTGAAGTACTACGAGGCGGAGGGCACGTGCCCGATGACGACATGCTTGCAGCTGTCTCCCGACCGTGTGAGAACAAGATATGCGGTGGTGGAAGTGGAGTGCATCCAGAGTGTGGTGCACGTGGGCAAGTCCTATGTGAACAAGCGGGTCATGCTCCTGAACAAGTTCATGCTGACGGAGTGAGGGTGGTGGGTTTTTATTGCCGTGACGTGTGGGTCCACTGTGGCAATGTGCGCTGATCTGGACGGAATTGACGATAACTCAGTAGACACATGAGGTGGCCCCTTTAATGGTTTTTTTTTAAGACCAGATGCGTCACTTGGTTGGGTGGATGTTGCATCACTTTTACCATGATCAATAGTATCCCACTGGTGTAGATGTTGGCACCTTGCTGCAAATAGTAAATGTTTTAAGGAGGGCATCTGGTGTAGAGCGGAAACGACGGCGTTGCTTTCGTAGAGCCCGATGACGTGCTCGCGCCAAATGTGCGATTCGAGGCAAGGTGCGTCCCACGAGGGGAAATGCGCGCCTCGATTTTTACGGGGCCGTATTGAGGCTAAGGGTTTGAGCCCTACCGTGACATTTGCGTCACATGTGTTTTGGGACGTTTTGGGTACTCGCTGGCACTTTTTGTATGGTTTTCCGTGGAAAAACCCACTCACATGAAAATTGAGCACCTGACTTTTCCGCGATGTAGGCGGGGTCTCCGCGAGTGTGTTTTTCCCCTGGCTCCTGCTTTCCTCATTCCTTTCCTTCTTACTGTCGTTCCTCCTTGCCGTGTTCCGGCGATTGAAAGGCTTGGCAATCCGCCGTGCGTCGTCGGAACCCCTTCCACTCGCACAACTAGAACATCAGCATCAACATCAACATCAGCAGCAGCAGGAGCAGGAGCATCATCATCGTCAGTAGCACCATCTTCAGCATCGCCATCAGCATCATTGTCAGCAGCAGCAGCAGGAGGATCTTTTGCACTAGCTCCCACCACTGGAAATGCTGCTGCTGCGAGCCTGCCAGGCGTGCCTCCCTCTGCTCCTCGCCCATCACCCATCCTAACGGGGCTTCGCCAACTTCGCGCGCACTGTTTCACCAAACCATGCACCGCTGGCCTGGTCGAGTCGGCCTACGCTTCGGGGCTAGCCCGAACCTCGATGCAAAGCTAGTATTAGTTCGTTCGCACGTACCGCGTAAGGGCGTAGAACATTTGGGAAAGTTTACGAATGAACCGTACAGCCTGAACGGTGGAAATTGGGTCAATTTGTCTAACACGTTCTTCAAGTAGGTCTCAATACGTTTCAGAGCGGTAATTTTCCGAACCGTACGTTCGTTCTGAAAAAAATCCCAAATGTTTCACGCTCTGACCATTGCATGTTTTCGCATATCCTCGCTATCTCGTTCCATTGCACCCATAACAGCTCCACAACATGGGAAGCTCTCATGCTTGGAGTATTTAAATAATTTGTTTTGGTATAATGCGTTGTCGCGCCTCAGTAGCACAGTGGTAGTGCGTTCGCTTCGTAAGCGAAACGTCCTGAGTTCAATCCACAGCTGGGGCAGTTTCATTCCCTTCGTCTTTTTGGGTTGCGTAGCAACCTTATACATTCGTTTTCACTTTTAGGTTGGCTGATGTGAATAGTGATAACCCTCCAAGATTTTGGAAGAAAACACTGTTCACATAAGTTACCCTACAAGTGAAACCAAATGTGTCCAATCATCCATAATCGTCGATAAGTACGGCGAATGGAATAATTGGACAATCTCACCGTACGAATGACGAAACAAAAAAACAAACAAAAAAACAAATCAGCATGACGATCGGAAAGCACACATACGATGCATTCGACACACTCCGAAACAGACACAAACTACCTGACCGCACACGAACTTGCTAAAAAGCGTTTGACAATCAAGAATGTGTCAAGGCTAATGCTAAATGCATCGATGATGATGCAACAGAGGTTGATATGGTGCGGAAGGGGCGAGCAAAGCTGCCCCACCGACGATCACAACCCCAGTTGCATACACGAGGCACTCAACACCAATCCCCGAAACAGACACAAATGACAACACACAAACTTGCACAAAAACGCTGAACACTAAACAGTTGTGAATGCTTCAAGGCGAATGCTAAATGCATCGATGATGCAACTGAGGTTGATATGGTGCGGAAGGGGCGAGCAAAGCTGCCCCACCGACGATCACAACCCCAGTTGCATACACGAGGCACTCAACACCAATCCCCGAAACAGACACAAACAACACCAACATGTATGGACAGACACATGCAAGCTCACTCACACACACACCTACACACACACACACACCTACACGCACACGCATACAAACACAAAAGCTTACTACCGCTATTGAACATGCAATGCAAGCGTAACGAATGAGCCCAGCCTGTATAAATATTCGTTAATCTGTCCCAGATTCCCCTCCCTCCCTCCCTTGTCTCCCATCCCCCCCTCCCTTCCAATATCCCCTATTTTATTCGACCCTCCCGTCTCTGTTTACCCTCTCTCAACCCCCCCCCCCCCCCTTTCTCCACAAGAAAAGCCAAATAGTGCAGCTTGAACTCCCTGCACAAGAAAGCACAAACAGCACAAACAGCGCATGCAACTCACACTCCCTGGACAAGAAAGCAAAAACAGATAGTGCAGCTGACACTCCCTGCATAAACAAAAACAAACAATCACAGGAATGCAGCCCACCCGAGCACAAGAAACGAGGTAAGAGTTATAACAAGGCGCTGATGAAGAATGAAGTACAAAAATAAAGATGAGGGACGAAAGCAATCAAATTTGACATCGATTCGGTAAAAGATATCGTGTCGTCACACATACCACGCCAACATGCACGCAATACCTCGCTGCCACCCTCGCCTTCACCTTGACACTCTCATCCTCACACCTCACTCTCGCACTCACTTTCCAACTCACGTACACACTATCGCTCCCAACTTCTGTTATACACGCTCACAGAAACACACACTCCCTGCACTCTCACACTCACACAAAACTCGCATGCACTAGCACGCACACTCGCACGCACCCTTGCACGCACCCTCGCACTCACCCTCAAACTCATCTTCGCACTCATGTTCGCACGTACCCTCGCTCTCACCCTCGCACTTACCATTGCACTCACACCCGCACCCTCGCACTCACCTTTGCACTCACTTTCGCACACTCACTTGCACTCACACTCATACTCACACTCACTCTCTCACTCTAACACTTGCTCTTGCACTGACCCTTGCACTCACCTTCGCATTCACTCTCGCACTCATGCTCGCACTTCCTCTCGCATTCACCCTCGTACACACACTCTTATGCACCCTCAAGAGCATGCATGCACTCACTCGCACTCACACCCGCACTCATTCTCTCACACTCTCTCGCACTCACGCTCGCAACCACTCACGAACACACAAGTACTTCTAACCGTTCTGAGACACACTCACAGAAACACACACATAACCCTCACACTCACCTTCGGACTCGCGCTCGCGCTTACCCTTGCACTCACTAGAACACGCACATGCACACATAGCCGCACGCACACTCGAACCCAACTCGCACACACACCCACACTTGCACCTACAGCCACGCCCACACTCAGGCTCGCACTCCTTCTCGCAGTCCTACTCGCCCTCTATCTCCCACTTTCTCTTGCACATACTCGTACTCACCCTCGCACTCACTCTTACACTCACACCGTGATGACCCTTGCACTCAACATTGCAGCCACACTCACTCAACTCACTCACTCAGCCTCACACTCTCGCACTCACTCTTCACGCACACAAATATACTCTCAACTCTACTTTGACAATCATAAAAACATACACACCCTTGCATATGTCCTCGCACTCACCCTCACACACACTCGAACGCACCCTCGTGTTCCTTTGCACTCAGCCTCGCACACACGCGCACACACACACACACACACACACACACAAACACTCATGCGCACACTCACCCTCAAACTCGCCCTCACACTCACACTTGCACTCACTCTCAAACTTGCTTTCTCACTCACCTTCTCACTACTCTCGCACTCACTCATGCGCTTGCTCTCTAATTCAACCTCGCACTCGCCCTTGCCCACAACTGCACGCGCATCTCACTTTCGCACTCACACCCACACAAGCACCTAGATTCACACCCGCACTCCCCCTCTCGCACACTCTCGACTCACTCTTGCAACCACTCACACACACTCACGCCCTAACCACAAGCGCACCAGTGCAGAGCCCTGATCGCAAGCGACATAAGCGCAAGCGGATTAGGCGCAAGCGCCCGCGGCACCCACGCCAACGGCGCAAGCGCGCACACACTCTCTCTCCCGCCTCTCTCTCCCACACGCGCTTCGTGCTCCCTCCAGCTCTTCATTCTCTCTCAACATAAGCTGTCTCACGCGCACTCCCTGCATGCTTGCTCCTGTGCGAATGCTCTCCCTCGCGCTCCCTCTCTCCCCCTCTTCAATTGGTAGTGCAACGCAAGACGAGGCAAGACTAAACGCAGAAACTACAAATAAGGTAGGAAACAATGGAATCTCAGAGGGGTGGGAGGAATAAACGCACCTGCTAATGACGGTGCCTCGAAGACCAACCCGCGCTAGCGCACCAGCTCTCGTTCGCGCACCATCCTTATCCATGCTCTCAAACCTCCCCACGGCGGGACGGGAGGGAGTGGCGCGGCCGGGATGAGGGCGAGGAGCGGCGGAATGGAAGGGAGAGACGGCGGCAGGATGGGAGGGAGTGGCGACGGCGGGATGAGAGAGAGTGGCGAAGCAGGATGGGAGGGAGAGGCGGTGGCGGGATGGGAGGGAGAGGCGGCGGCGGGATGGGAGGGAGAGGCGGCGGCGGGATGGGAGGGAGAGACGGCGGCGAGAGGGTAGGGAGTGGCGACGGCGGGTAGGTGAGAGAGGCAACGGCGGGGTGGGAGGGGACGACGGCGGGATGGGAGGGAGCCGAGGCGACGGGATGGGACGGAGCGGAGGCGACGGGATGGGAGGGAGTGGAGGCGACGGGATGGGGAGGGAGGCGACGATGGGGAGGGCGAGGCGACGGCGGAGGGAGAGCGACGGCGGAGGGAGAGGCGACGGCTGAGGGAGAGGCGACGGCGGAGGGAGAGGGGACGGCGGGGTGGGAGGGAGCGGCGGCGGCGGGAGGAGGGAGCGGCGACGGCGGGTAGGAAGGAGAGGCGAGGATGGGTGGGAGGTGAGGGTGGGTGGGAGGGAGAGAGGACGGCGCGGTGGGAAAGAAAGGATGGTGGGGTGGAGGTGGATGCTATGACGAGGTGGGTGGGTGGGAGGGAGAGGGAACAGGTGGGTGGATTGTCACGTGAAAACACACGCACATTCACGTGACACTGACTGGGCTGAAAACAACTCTATAAAAATAGTGCAATGGTACAATACAAAGTATCATATTTGTTCACTACATAAAAAAAACGATCAATGTGTCTCAATGTTTAAAAATCATAAACATCCAGATTGAATCGAATACATTGCACCATCAAGAAGCACGTGTCGTATTCTTTAATACGGTAGACCTAAAAATGGCGCTAAATAAGGAAACAAAACTGCACTTCCTCTTTTTTTTTTTGTCAATGTGGAATGTAACATCTACGCAACCCGTCCGACGTTAACGTCGAGTCTTGTTTTCTCTCGTCTCCATAACGCCTCTTCCATGTTGATCAGAAATCAAGACAATCGCTTTCGTTCTGGGTGCACATTCAAAAACATCTACTCTGAATCAGTCACAAGTGCTTCCTGTCTCTTGTTCTTGAGCCTAGTGATTGATACCAGGGACCTGGTCGGTAGAGGTAGCGTAGGGTGTTCCGCACATAATGTTAGTGTCTTGAGTAGGGTTAGAGTGGTAGGTTTGTACGGACGGACTGGAATATATATACTAAAACAGAGTTTAATCTAAGCAAAATAGTTCGGTCGTTCGTAATGTATTTCCTCGTACGTAGTTCTGACACAAGGTGTTACGTCACGCGGTAGGTAGGCTCCTCTGTATACGTCTGGCACGAGGGGTAGTAGCTACACGTATAGGTTCGTCGCTCTTCGTTACACTGTTCTGGCATGACCAGAATCTCGAATAGAATGGACCCTTTTCGACACCCTGACGCTGGATTTGACGCTTACCGACACCCTCAGGCTGAGAACGGGAACAATTCACCAGTTTCAGAGCAGGAGATACGAGCTATGCGGATCAGCGAGCTAAAGGATTTCCTCCTTTCACGCGGCGTGTCTCTCTCTCCTCGCGATCACCACCGTCAATATTACCTTCAGATCGCTCTAGATTGGCTAAGGACGAATCGGGGCGAACGAGATGCGGGTTACGATCGGACGGCTGGCAATGGGCCTCCGAGACAAGATCCGACGGCTCGGGGTTCATCTGTTGCTGTCTGCGAATCAGAGAGATGGTTTCAGGAGGAGCAGCAGCGGCAGCAGAGGCAACAAATCGAGCAACAGCAAGAGCAGCACCAGTACCAGCAGCAACGACAGCAGCAGGAGCAGCAGCGGAGATACGCGCGGGAGCAGGAGCTGAGATCCATGAGCACGGCTCAGCTGAAACAGTGGCTTCTCGATCAAGGCGTGGGTCTCTCCCCTCGAGAGCACAAACGCGCCTACTACCTCCGGATGGCTCTTCCGCTGCTCGCTTCCCCCGGTGCTCCTCTCTCCTTCGCGTCTCCGCAGCTTGGTTCACTGAATACGCTCTTCTCGCCTCCCATGGGCTCGCCTGACACGCGCGCGCCACTGAACACGCCCTTCACGCCTCCCACGGGATCGGTATATGATGATGCGTTAACTTCTGCTCGTTCTGGCGAGCCTCTGTCCGCGGTGGATCAGCAGCAGCGGCGTGGGAAGCTGCAGGAGGGGGGGAAGTCGACCCCTTCGACAGCCGGGAGCGCATGTGCTACCGCAGGGCATAAGAGAGCTGTTGAAGCAGCAGCAGGAGCAACGGTAGGAGCTAAACGAGGAGCTACGGTGGTGCCAACGCCTGGCAAAACAGCTGCTGAATCCTGGGAAACACCTGAGGAAACACCTGAGGAAACACCTGAGGGATGGGGAGCGAAGAGGGTCCAGGAGGAGAACAGGAGCAAAAGATGGTGGTGGTGGTGGTGGTGGGGCAGCTCTTTGATGCAGGGACGGCCGGAGAGGGAGGACGAAGCAGGCCCTGATGTGTATGGTAAAAAGGAGCACATGTTCCAGTCCGGGGAACAGCAGCAAGAGCAGCAACCGCAGCAGGGAAACCGTCAGCACCAATGGCGTGTGCAGCAGCAGCAGCACCACCAACAGAAAGAGGAGGAGTCAGATACCATCTCCTTCTTCTCTGCTCTCGATTTCCCCCATATCCCTCCTCATGGACTCACCAGAGGTCTCAATCCCGACACAGAGCAGCACAGGCGTCATGTGCGTGGATCAGCATGGGCAGGGAGTAATGGAGGAAATGACGATGGTGGAGAGGCAAGTGCAGGTGTGGGTGCTGCAGGTGGAGATGGTGGAGATGGGAATCTGGAGACGCGCGATGGTACCTGGGGGTGGTTCTGGGGTAGGACGCAAGGGGGTAGAGTGGTAGGCGGGGTCTCCGCGAGTGTGTTTTTCCCCTGGCTCCTGCTTTCCTCATTCCTTTCCTTCTTACTGTCGTTCCTCCTTGCCGTGTTCCGGCGATTGAAAGGCTTGGCAATCCGCCGTGTGTCGTCGACTGGAGGAACCCCTTCCACTCGCACAACTAGAACATCAGCATCAACATCAACATCAGCAGCAGTAGGAGCAGGAGCATCATCATCGTCAGTAGCACCATCTTCAGCATCGCCATCAGCATCATTGTCAGCAGCAGCAGCAGGAGGTTCTTTTGCACCAGCTCCCACCACTGGAAATGCTGCTGCTGCGAGCCTGCCAGGCGTGCCTCCCTCTGCTCCTCGCCCCTCACCCATCCTACCACGCCAGCTGCTCTTCCCCACGTCTCACCGTGCCGTCCCTCCAGTGTCATCGCCTCGCCTGTCGGCCTCAAGCAGGCAGAAGAAAGAGAGCAGGCCTGCAAGGAACAGGAAGCAGGGGCGTGCTGCATGGTCCTGGTCGGTGCACATGGTGCTGCTGCAGGCAGTGCAGCTGGTGGCCATGGTGGGCGTGGCAGCAGGCGTGTACTCCTCTGCGTGGACGCTCATTCAGTCCCTGGATCACCGCTTGCTTCCCTTCTGTGACACCCATGGCAACAGCCATTCAAAATCCACCTCTGGGGAGCCTGATTCGCTGTCATCGTCGGTATTGCCACAGCAGCACGAGCCTCTTTTTCTCTCCACGGTCGCACATGCACCCGCCATGTCTCCTTCTCGTCACTCCCCTCTGTACTCTCTCTCTCAGTCCTCTCCTCCCCCTGCGGCCTCTGCTGTTCGCTGCCGGCCGTGCCCAGACCACGCTGAATGCTCCATTGGAGTAGCTAAGTGCCTTCCCAGCTACAGCCCTGCTTCAGGCTACAACCGTCCCCGCTACAGCCGTGCTTCAGACCGCAGCCGATTGGGCGCCAGTTACAGACAAACCAGCAGTAGTAGCAGCAGCAGTGGCAGTGGCAGTGGCAGTGGCAGTGGCAGTGGCAGTAGCAGTACCACCAGGGGGCTAGAGGACAGTAACAGTGGCGGGAAGATCACCTGGTGGTATGCCCTTGTCTCGTCCTCCCCTGCGTGCGTTCCTGACCCAATTGTGGACCGACAAGTGGCAGCTCTGGAGAGGGACGTGGTTGGCTGGGCGTGTCAGAAACGTGCGTGGCAGATGTGTGCGGATGCACCTGCCAGCCTGGCAGATGGGATCAGGAAGGCTACACAATCTGTAATCCAGATGATTCTGCACAGTATAGGAACTGTTTACAGAGATGCGGGTGGTGGGAGTTGCAGTGCTGGGGGTGATGGGAAGGCGTGCCGGTGGGTGAATACGGAAGGAGACGCCTTTGCAGGAAGGAGTGGGAGTGGGTATGTGAGTGAGTGGGAGGTGAGAGAGGCTCTTGATCTTCCCATGGCCCCTGCCTCTGCCTTTCCTCTTCAGTCTTCCGCCCAAGGCAGTGCATCATCCGCCGTTCCTGTGCCTCCGCTGGCAGAAGCAGCATTGTCACCAGCAAGTTTGATACTGGATGGTTGGCAACAGGAGCAGCTGGAACAGCAGCAACAGCAGCAGCAGGAGGGGGGATCACGGGAGGCAGAGTCAGGTTCGAGCAAGCATGAGACGGATTTTCTCGTTGCACTGGTTGCTGATAGGGCGTTTGCCAGAGTTCAGTCGGGTGAGACTCTGCTCCGTCCGGGCAGGAGGGAGAAAACTTTTACCTGCCCGGATGACCTGGCACAAGAGCTGATGTCCAACAGCTGCTGGGCATGGTATGTGGTGGCTTCTCATTGGTTGGACCTTCTTCTGGCCCTGCCCTGTGGGATTCTGTTTGCTGTTGCTGGCTTGATGATAAAGAGGCGGAGAGAGTGGGAAGAGGTGGTCAGAACAACATACACTCATGTCTGTGTGCTGCTACAGCAAGCTGCACAAGATGCCGAGTCCTGCCGGATGCAGACGGGATACGCCCGCCAGTCCTGGGTTATGGAAGAGGCGCTTCGAGTGCACCTGTTTCCACCTCAAGTTGGAGTCCACACATCCTCTGATTCACTATCTACAGTACTTGGTACTGTAATTGCTACAGTGCAAGTTGCGATTAAACAGCGGAGTGAAAAGAGGCGCCAGCACGCGGTGGAGAGGCTGTGGAGGGAGGTTCGGCAGTGGGTTGAAGGCGATTACAGAATCCTGGTCTATCCACGAATCGTGGCGGATGCAACGAAGGTTGTGTGGGAGTGGCAGGGTAAGCTATCTGTGGGACGCGAGGGTTGGCGTAAGGGATTTGTGGCGTTGAAATTGCAGGGTGAGGAATCGGTCATGTGGAGTGGCTGTGCCAGTGCGTGTAAGTTATTCTGCCTGCTCCAATTCTGCTGGTGATCCTCCCTCCCCCCTCTTCCTCCCTCTCCCCTCTTCCCTTTTCTTTGGTCTGTCTCAAGGAATGTTGGTGGATTTTCTTGGTGTTTGGTATATGGGCAAGGCTTAATTCTTTTCTTCTTTTTACCGTACATGTTTTTCTGGTCACTCATGGCATGCACACTTACTATCCCTCTCTCACACTTATTCGATTTTCAATTGGCAGTTGATGCAAGAATGTCAACGCCCTCAGCGAAGCTTTCATAGTGCTGGTAGAACATGTACAGGCTGTTGTATGTTAGATTCACACGTATTAGGATCAGTCACCCGGTGGTTGATGTAAGTTGTCTGATTGAGAAAGCTTGCTTCTGTAGCAATTGGCATCGTTCTCATTACAATGGGCTCAAGTACAATGGTTCCTAGCAATTATAATAATATACTATCACATCCAAAATATCTAAGAACTTCTTCTACTCTCAAAAGATGACTAGCATGGGGAGGGTGGGTGGGAATTGAACTTGAGCGATTGTAAAATGAGAGACGTGGGTGGGGGAAGAATGACCCCAGCCCACATTATATATTCGGAGAAGGCGAATGCCGCGCTTCGACGATGCACAAAATTGCATTACAGTCAGCTTCGCTTTCACAATACGCAAATTTGAAAGCGATAAACGCTTAGAAATTTTTCATGATAACATTGTTGTGTAAGGGAAGTTTATGATAGCAGTTTTTAGAATGCTGAGTTTTAATCATCGGATAACCTGCTGAGTTATATTATCGAGTAACATGCTGAGTTACCGTATAATTGTCGAGTCGATGAAAAATGATTGTGCTGCGGTGTACTCTGCCTTGACCCAACAGTCATATGAGAGGTGGTTGGTGACGTGATGTGAAGCGGAATCCCTGGAGTCATCGTTTCGTCTCGTCAGCCGAGCGACGGCCAGCGCAGCACGAACCTACTTTATCGGTTCGACCAAACAAATCAAGTCGAGGCCAGAGCATGGTGAAGAGAGCAAGGGGAGCGGAGGTGCGGAAAAGGGCGGGGAGAATCAGAACTCGGGATCGCGGTTTACGTATGGCAGGCTCCTTCGCTTCTGCTGAGGCAGCAAGGACGGGGTGGGGTTTGATTCTGCAGGTCAGGAAGGAAGGACCATGTGGCTGGCTGCCTCTGCCCATCTAGGGTTTGATTCAGCAGGATTTCTTGCCTTCACATCAGCCAAGCTCCGTCCCTGACCAGGCAAAAAATGTCACTTCCGTTTCGCAGGCCCTGCAGTTCCGTTCCGTTCCCATCCCAGCCTTGTGCAATCTCAGATTCCCCATAAGACGCCATGAGCAAACCATAAGGCATATCAATTGTTGGGTCGTCTTGCTTTGGTATGTGTTTCATGTGTTTCGTTCACTAGTAGTAGTAATAGTCCCCGTTTTCTTATCACTAGTAGTTTCGGAGTGTTATTCCTTTCAATGACTCATTGAGTCATGAGTCATGATGCGGTCATTACGAGCACCACCCAAGTAATATAGCTCGTGCGTTTGTGGGTTGACTGGTGGTTGGTGATAGATTGCGCTTAGCAGCATCACCAACTTTTCAGTCTCCTTTGCCTTCTATCAGTGCTACCATCACAACCTCACAGAGCTTTGTTTATTTGTTTACAAATAATCCACGTCACTCCTTTTACTGGCAACTTCTAACGGCAAAGGTAACTGCGTACTACATTTAAGAAAATCGGGTTCCTAAGCTGTTGCGTCCCAGTACTCATTCGCCATGGTTTCGCAGGATATATGTCCCCCTGACATGAGAATCTCCTTATGAAGTCCAGAAGTGCTGAAGCAGATACCTTGTTTTATGTTCATCTCCAATGGACGACCCCAAGGCTGACCATATTTGGGATCCCCTAAGAGGCTACCAGGTTACCTGAACCTCACCTAAAAGTGACTTTGAGATCACATGCAGCCTGAAGTCCACGTTCATCAGCAACTATTGCTGTCATGGATTTCTCCCCCAGTCACGCATCATCACCAGATCTAAACAAGAGACACATTTGGGATCGGTTCCCAGGCTTCATAATCAAAACAGACGTATGTCCAAAATGTTTAGGAGTTAATTTCATCATTTCAAATGGAGAACGTGAGTCACAATCTTCTGACATAAAGTATGCGGTATATGGAGAAAGCCTCTCTGATTATCAATCTCAGGTTTGACAATCACAAATCTGAGACTGCTCAAGGGCCTGGCAGGCACATAACTTCATAATTGCAGGTCCAATTTGGCATCAGATAATGTAATGGCTGATTGAAGCATTCTCCGTCTTTCTTCTGGCTCACAGCTTCCATCAGGTTCCCTTTGACAGGCTCTCCATGCACCTACTACTAGTACATTGCCAGGTAAAACAACAGAGCTCAACACAGTGAGCACACATAACCATCACTCTGTTGCTACAACACAATGTGCAAGTTACCATAATAACCCCTGCACTTACGCTATAACCTATCGTGCGTCATGCACAGGCATGAAGCTATTGAACGAGAGAGGTGGCAAATTGGTGGCAACCTCCGCAGGACAAGGTGCGGCAAGATCCTCTTGCGCTGAAATCCACTCAATATCCGCCTTGTCAAACTTCCTCGACTCAAGGCGTCCATCTTTGAGCACACCTAAAGGTGTTATTGGGGAAGGCATGCCTGTGGCATCCACTGGGCCCTCACTGACCTGTCTTTTAATTGCACGATGAAATGGATCCAGATGCTCACCCTTGATCCCCGCCTCTCCCAACCACCAATCCTTCTGCAGTCCGTCCTCTGCCTTCACATGGTCTCCACGTTTTCCCAGAATGCACGGAGCCCCATTCGGCAACTCTTCCACCCTCTCTGGCGCCTCCCCTGGTGTGGCCGGCAACACAAGAGGCGAACTCTGTACGCAAAGAAACAGCGGAGCGTCTGGATGCAGAAAGGATGTCGCTGGACCCAATGCTGCTGCGCAATTTACTAAAGAACGTGACGATTTTAAAGAGGATGGTGGCTGCTGCACTGCAAGGGGGTTGAGAGGAGACGGCATTGTTTGGCTACGGAAGTATCGAGCTCTCCAAGCCTCAAAAGCGTGCCAGCCGTTAAACGGAGACGACCGCTGCAACGCTTCACCTTCAACATCTGCTGCCTGTTCTCCTCCCAGAGGCTCCTGCTGCAGCACTTCAGCGGCGCCTTCTGCTTTTCTTATCCACGCATCCCTGCATTCCTGCATGGTAACTATTGGCGGCTTCAAAGGAGTAAGCCCTTGCCCCTGCAGTGCTGCCACTGGCCCGAGCGTTGACTGGGAAGCCTCTTCCCACTGTGATGCGCCAGCACCAGCTTCTGCAGCTCTCCTCCCGTCTGTGAAGTGTATGACCACACCATCCTTTTCTGCTAAATAATTTCCTCCACCAGCCAGACAGCTGCTCGCACCAGCACCAATAACCCCCCCTATATCCCCGCCTCCTCTTCCCTCTCCTCCCATGATAAAACCTCTCGTTCTCACTCGTGGCGTAGCGGCTCCACTGTCACTCCCAGCTGCACGGCGGCTCGTAACACCCTTTTTTGCTTCACCCATTCGCCTGTCAGTGCGTTGCTGCACAGTTCCTCTAATCAAATCTACACACACATCCTTCCAACCGATTGTTTGCTTCCCAACACCAGCACCAGCGTCCACACAGCCGTCTAATCCTGAACGCTTCTCCAGATTCTTGATATCTTGAGCACTAACTGGACCGTGTCTTGATGAAAGCCCGTTGGTTGATAAACTTAGAGAGAGGAGTGGACCGACATCCTCTCTCCTTCTATCAAGCAACCCTCCAAGAGTGCATACACCCCTTAGTTCCTCAAAACTGTCCTTCCGGCAGACAACCATCCTCCCCTCTGGCCATGCATTATCCTCACTTCCCCGCAACACATCATCCCCACTCTCCTGCTTTCTCTTTTTGCTGGCCATGCTCAGCTCCCGATGCCCCTCACAGCCTTTCTGGGCCTCCCACACATGCGTCCTATCTCTAGGTTTACATTCTTTAATTTCCGCTTCAAGATCCACTGGAGCAGCCCCACTCGCCGAAGCAATCCTACCTGCCTGCACTACCCTCGCCTCCTCTCGTTCATTTTCACAAACCAAGCTCTCAGCCTTGACCTCCCTGCCACTGCTGCCACCGTTGCCACCGTTGCCATTCCGTAAGCCCTCACGTTTCTCCCTGCCTTTCTCCCAAGTCAGCTGGCAGGAATGGTCAACATGAGTCCGGGTTGCAAAAAAACTCTTCCTGTGACCAGCTGCATCAACTGAAGCATTCGAGATTGTTTCAGACGGCCTCGTGAATGAATTCTCAGCTGCACTACCAGAGACAGCCCCCAAACACTCCCACACATTCCCACCGCTCCTCACGTTTTTCCTACGTTCCTTGCCTCCTACCAGAACTACATGGAAAGACTCCTCAGCATCTGCTTCAAGATCAACTCTGTAACCAGCTGGATCAACTGCAGATTTAAAGGGGTTTTCAACAGCCTCTCTAACTCCCACCCCGTCCCAACCATTCCCACCAGTGCTCGCCTCCTCCTGAGTCTCCCTGCCTTTCCCCAAGCTCAGCTGAAAAGGCCTCTCAACTTTCAAACTTCTTGGAAGACTTGGACTGTGCTTGGCTGAACAAACTGCGACACCCGGGGTTTCAAGTAGTAGACTCTTTAGTGAATGTTCTGCTGGATTGCCATCCGCACCTGTAGCTGTCGCTGCTGCGTTGACCACAAACTTTGCTGTATTAGCTGCAGACTTAGCAGCTGCCCCAGCAACTGCATCAGCGGCTGCCTTAGCTGCAGAGGTAACTGCTGTCCCAGCCACTGCATGTTCTGTGGCATCAGCTGCTGTCCTAGCTGCTGCTGTAGCTGCTGCAACAGCTGCGCCAGTTGATGGTGCTGTGTGTTCTGTCCAAGCACAAGCCACGATTTCCTTTGCAGGCGTGAAAGAAAGCCCCAAGGCGAGGTCTCCCTGCTGCCACCCAGACCAGGAGCTCAAAGCCATGCCACACCGAGGCAATCGAGGCACAGCACCATTCTCACTCCCAGAAGACGTCAACGTCACAGCTGCTGCCGCAGCAGCCTCGTCCGATGCCTGCACTTCATCTCTCACAATTTCTGCTGGCCCAAAACGTGATGCCTGCACTGCATCTCTCACAACTTCTGCAGGCCCACAACGCGATGCCTGAACCGCATCTCTCACGATCCCTGCAGCCCCACCACACGATGCGTGCAGCAGAAGCTTGTGTTGTGGAGGTTCAGACAAAGAAGCCTGACGAGATACTGGTAGTGCTCCTTGGGAATACGCCGCAGCACACGCCCCCTGGTGTGCCCCCTGCTGCGTCCCCTGCTGCTCCCCTTGCTGCTCCGTCCCTTTCTGCCTCCCGTGCAGCGTCCCCTTCTGTGCCCCGTCGCACGATCCATGCTGCAATCTGGCACACGCTGCCCGCTGTTTCGTCTCTTGTAGCATCTCCTGCTGCGACTCCTGTTTCGACACCTGCTGTGATCCATGCAGCGTTTCCTGCAGCGCCTCCTGCAGCGTCCCTTGCAGCGTTTCCCGTTTTGTCTCCTGCTGTGATCCCTGCAGTGTCTCCTGAAGCGACCCCTGCAGCTGGACGCGCCGTCTGCGGCGGTGGATGGCGGGAGGGGGGTGGTTGTGCGTAGCCTCGTATGTGACCTTGGTGCTGTGAGCAATCGAGGAGAACTGCTGGTGAGCGTCAAAGTCAATGTGCTTGCGCGCTGGGCAGGGAGGCAAGTCGGCGTGGCTGTAGCAGGGAAGGCTGGATATGCAGCGGTAGTATGCCCTGGGGCGGAGGAGAGGGGGCAGAGGGCGGTGGGGGTAAAGGGAACGGGGGTGGAAAGCATTTCTGAGCGTGAAATACTTGCACACGGGGCAGGGAGGTGACTAGGAGAGGCTGTAGCAGGGAAGGCTGGATATGCAGTGGTATGCCCTGGGGCGGAGGAGAGAGGGAGAGATGGAGGTAAACGGAACGGGAGGGAATTCAGGCACAGATGGAAAGGGCAAGGAGGGAAGAAGCACAGATTGGTGGGAAGCATTACTGAGCCTGAATTACTTGCAAACCGGGTAGGGATGCGAGGTAACGCTGGATATGCAGCGATAGTATGCTCTGGGGTGGAGGGCGGCGGGAGGAGGGAGGGGGGGGGGGGGGGGTGGAGGGGGGCTGGGTAAAGGGAACGAGGCTGAGAAGCATTTCTGAGCCTGAAGTACTAGTAGATTGGGTCGGAGGCAACTAGGAGCGGTTGTAGCAGGAGTGCTGGATTTCAGCAATATGTTCTGCAGGAAGGAGGAGAGTGGGGGGCTGGAAGGGGAGGGTTAGGGGGAAGAAATATTTGCGTTGTGGATGGAGGTAAGGGCACGAGGGAACACGGGGGATGGGGAGGATATTTTAGCCTGGTATACTTGCTTTCGGCCTCCTTCGTCATATTTGTAGAAAAGAAACAAGTGTTGGGAAGAGACAAGAAAGGTTGAAGCAGAGGGGTGTGACTGATAACCGAGAGATAGAAAGGTTGAAGAGATTGAGAGGGGAGGAGATAGACGGAGGGAGGGATGCAGGGATGGATGGGGGGAGGAGGTGATGGGGAGGGAGGGAGGGAGGGATTCAAGGATGGAGGGAGGATTGAGGAAGGAATTGAGGGTTTGAGGGAGGGATTGAGGGATTGGGGGATTGAGGGAATGAAGGGGGGGGAGCGAGGAGAGGGGGATGGAGGGTGCGAGGAAGAGAGGGAGGGGGGGGAGGGAGGTAGGTAGATAGGTAGGTAAGTAAATAAGTGAGAGGCAGGGAGATTGGCAGGGAGGGAGGGAGAGGAGCACGGGGTCAGGTAGGAGGCAGGGAGGGAAGGAGGAGGGACGGAAGGAAGGAAGCACCTAGGAAAAGCAGGGAGGTAGGGAAGTAAGCAGGAAGGAAGAGAGGTAAGCAGGGAGGGAAGGAGGGAAGTAGGGATGTAGGGAGGGAAGCAGGGAAAAGAAGGAAGGAAGGGAAGCAGGGAAACGAAGGGAGGGAGGGAAGCAGGGAAAGGAAGGGAGGGAGCGAAGGAGGGAGGGAGGGAGGGAGGGAGGGAGGGAGGGAGGGAGGGAGGGAGGGAGGGAGGGAGGGAGGGAGGGAGGGAGGGAGGGAGGGAGGGAGGGAGGGAGGGAGGGAGGGAGGGAGGGAGGAAGAAGGACCCTTTGCGCGAGAGAGGGAAGAAGGTAGAGTCGGAGAGTGGGAGAATGGGAGAGTGGGAAGAGAGAGAAGACAAATGCATGAAAATATAAGATTGAGATGCGCGCTCTAGACAGAAACGAAGACAATCAACGAATATATGATAGAGATACTTTGGATTGCTGAGATTTCAATAATAAGACTAGATATGTGGCTGCTTGAGTCGACATTGATTTTTTTATATATATGTAAATATATAAATTAAAGGAGGAAAAAGGGAAGAGGGAGGGGAGAGGGAGGGGAGGGAAAGTTGGAGGGGAAGGAGGAGGGGAAGAGGGAGGGGAAGGAGGAGGGGAAGAGGGAGGGGAAGAGGGGGAGGAGGGTGGAAAGAGGGAGGAGGAAGGCGGGGAGTTGGGGAGGGAGGGAGTGGAATAGGGAGGGGGGGCGGGAAAGGGGAAGGAGGAAGAGGGAGTGAAGAGGAGGGGGAGAGGAAGAGGGACGGGAGAGAGAGAGGGGAAGAGGGAAGGGGGGAGGGAGGAGGAGGGGAGCGGGGAAGAGGGAGGAAAGGGGGAGGGACGAGGGAGTGGGGGAGGGAGGAGGAGGCGAGGGGGGAGAGGGAGGAGGAGGGAGGGGGGAGGAGGGTTTGAGGGAGTGAAAGGGGGAGAAGTCGAAGGGTGGAGGAGGGGAGGGAAAGAGAAAGGAGAGGGAGGTATTGAGCGTGTTCGGATAGGCGGACAGGGAGGGGGAGTGAAAGGGAGACGAATGGAGATTTTGTGCCCGAAATAATGGGGAAAGCAGTACCACTCAGCCCTAGGAAAAGTGCGCTTGGGGCACCAGCAGCTAAACTCTTTGTTCAACTGTCCTCTATTTTGACTTTTGGTCCGCTGATGTACCACGAAAAGCGCTGCAAAAGTGCAGTGAACGCTAAAAGAGTTGTTTGGAACGAGAAAAGAGGCGAGAAAGGGGGAGAGAAAGAGGCGAGAAACAGTAGAAAGGTGACGCTCGGCTGGCAACCGACCTTCTGTGTCCCGCACTTTTTAAAAGCTTAGAGCCATACTTCAGCCACTGAAACCCATCAGAATTTGCAAATTTCGAGATGATGTTAAGCTCGAGAGGAAGATCTTTGAACCAGATGTTGTCCGACATGTTACAATCACCAGTGCCGCGGCTTTTTACGATGATGTTGCTGTCCAGATATTACACACGCGTCACGCACACGGTGCCATGCTTAATAAAGGCAGTCGTGAGAATATATTTTCCAAAAGATGAGAATTCATTATTTGGCCAACATCAAACTCTGTGTGTTAGGAGGCTCCTTTTAAATCGTACTGCTAGTGCGCATCGGTGGAGTGCAAATGGGGTTTGTGTCATCACCAGCTCGCAAAGCCATTTTCTGAACCCAAAACAAGTACTGCTGATAGGGACGAAACAGGTCCAGAGGCATTTGCAGGCTTGTGTTCTAGGTTGAACGAAACCCTCAGGGTGGTGTGAAAAAACGCCTCGTCACTTCATGAGCCATCACAAAGCTGTACGAGTACAATGTAAAAATTAGTCCGAATATGAACCTAGACTGTTGGCCTTTGTTCTGCCCAACATGGAAATATGGTTGGAAGAATTTTATGAACTCCGGACGCCCTTCGTGCTTTTGCCTCTTAAGTTTCGTTACGGGCAGAGCCACATGATTCCGCAAAAGGAAAAAAAATATGTAGGATGCGACATCAGGAAAAGGGCAACATACGGTGTCATAGCGCGTTTCCCTCGTCGCTCCGGGTTGTTGGCTATGTCCCAGAAACACTTGAACTGGAGTCCTGGAGGAACAGCTAGGCCAGCCTTCTGTTGGTGCAGGCGGCTCCTCAATTGGAGTGATGTGATGATTATTTCTGCTGACCAATGCGATGGAAAAGTGGACTCCCACCACCCTCCCACGCAAGATTGCTGCCAGTGCGGGCAACTGAATCGAAGGAACCAGAACTGTGCGCCAAGGTTTGGATGGATCTCCGCCACACAGGTCAGTCCCCTGAATGCACAGCAGGGATGGAGCGGCTGCGAAGGTGGTGGCAGATTGCTGCCTAAATACAGTGGAGATGCGATTGTGCGATTCTGGAAGACCGATTTCCTGGGTCGAACTCACGGAACACAATCAGTAAAAGAGGTCACTGTTTCAGTCTGACTGAAGATCACCACCAGAGCCTGCCGCTACGACAGATCTCCCTAACAGCATCAACCAGCGCGAAAAATACAGGTTCAAGACAGGAAACACATGCAGACGAGAATAAAAATGACTGTGTGGCACCCGTTCGTCGGTCACGTGAGACTTCTAAGGACCTGGCACGGTTTGCCTCTGATCGGCTGTGATCTGGTCGGGTCTGATCGGATCGGAGTCCCCTCATTACTGTGATCGCGCTGCCCGAACAGAGAAGAAATTCCTCGAATATGAGGGTGCTTGGCAAGCGTGTCACCCTTTCCAGACACTTCTGCGCCCACTTTGGCGAGGGCGAAGTCCTCAGCCTGGCTTACCGAATTTCAATGTTTCCATGTAATTTCACGAGAAGAGATGCTCAGTAACGCTGCAGAGGGTGGTTTAGAAAGTTCGCCAGGGTGGTTTGTTTGAGCGAGAGCTTCACGAAACTAAGCACAGCACCGTAACTTGTCGATAGCGTCGTTTAGTACCCCAAACCAATGCAATCAACTGATCGTCGGTGTTTGTGTGGGGTTGTGTTTGATTGGGCTTATTTAGGCGGTTGATCGAGTTGGGGCAATCAACTGATCGCGATCAAGTGATTGCCCCCGACTGCCTGAAATCGCCACCCTAGCTTCCCGGAATTTATTGACCGATCGGGGCAATCAGAGGCGAACCGTGACACGTCGTATTGAACTCTTGCATTTCAGATTGGCAAAACTACGAAACAGATCTATGAACGGCGATGTGGCTCCGCTTGTGTGCCCTCCAAAAGAGCTTGAGAAACGTTTGCACCCAAAAATGGTCAGGTCGGTCGTATTTCACGAAAGTATTTTCCCGTGGACTGTACAGAGCTGTTCTGCTCCTACAGAGTGTACACTCATTGTCGCGAATCTCGTGTCTTACGTGCTGCACTCATTGCGCGTGCTGCTGTGCTGGCTTCGGGCTCAAGAGGCAGCGGTCAGGTGATTCGCGGGGAAGTCCTTGGGGAAATGCAATAAAAATTGGGGTTTGAATGAAAGCTGGCGTGCATAAAGGATCTTCTGGTACACCTGATGCGCGTTATAATCTACCTTCCTCCCCCTGTGCTCTGGGCTTATAAGCGCACATGTCATTTCGGGCACTTCCTGGCTTTCGCCACGGCCCAGAGGTGCTCCTAAAAGGCAAGGGTTGTTACCCGCTTGTCTTTTCTCTTAACAGTGTGGGGTGGCTTAGTTTGTTGTGCGTTCAAAGGATATGTTACCACAATTTTCACCCATTTGATTAACACCCCATTACATTTCACGTCCCGCAGTGTCACAAACAACACATTCATCCCTCCACCCAATAAAGCTGCTCCACCTGTACCCAACCCAAATACCCACTCGTACTAGCCCATTCTTGCATGAGGTGTACAAGGCGTACACCTCATGCATTGGGGAGGAACCAAATTCCTTCAAGGGGGACAGAATCCCCTCTCACGACGCACGCACAGCCGGGAGGAGGAGGAGATGTGCACTCCTCCTAAATGGTGATGACGGGGCTTCACAGCCGCATCCACTCAGCGGCAGCCAAGTAGCCTGACATCACGGCGGGAGCCACGGCATCAATGAGCTCCTGCCGGCGAGCAGACTGGGCCACCCAGTCAGGGGTCGGCACCGTTGTCCACGCCGGCAGCAGCCGACCACAGCGACGTGGAGTCTCTGCCGGTGGGTTGTCCTCGTGCAACATGGCGGGTGGCGGAGACGCGTTAAGGTTGAGAGCAGGGCTTGCGCGCTCCATCCGCGCGACGATTATCGGGTTACGAATGTCAAACAGTGCGCACAGGTCCCGCGGCGTGATGCATGTCGCGCGCGCATAGTCAATGAGCATTTCGCACGCGGCCCGAGCGGTGCGACGTGCTTCGCGCGTCGCAGGGTTGCTGTCGTCGTAGACCACATGCATCGACGCAGGCGCCTCCCACATCTCCGCCATCGGCTCCGATCGCGGCTCGATCGCCAACGGATCCTCACCGAGCTCGGCGCACGTCGGCTGGTTGTCATCGATGCCGACAAACTCCCCAGCGGGCATCGCGCTTGGTCCGAGTCCGAGTCGGGCAATCAGGCTACCCACGTCGTTGACGTCATCGTCCAGGCCGATGTCTCCTCCGGCAGTGGGGCCGCTGCCAGCTCCTGGCTCCACGTGCGGGAGTTCCATCGCCCATGCGCGCGGGAGACAACCGGTGCGCCACCAGCAACGCTGGATGGTGCTACGCGGGATATTCATCCACGCGTCATGGAACCACTCCAGCACTAGACGGGGGTTCGGCTTGAACCTAGCTGCCGCAGAGGTGGCGCCTTCGGCAGTCCACATGCCCGTGAAGGCGCGGAGCCAATGCTGGCGGTACCGCGCCTTCGCCATGGCAATGAGCCCCTGGTCAAGGGGCTGAATGAAGCATGTGGTGTTAGGAGGCATGAACACCAGGCGCACGTTCTTGAGCGCACGCGTACGGAACCCGAAGAGATCTTCGGTCACGGCGCCCGCGGTTGTCAGATTGTGGCTGCTGGCGTTGTCGAGTAGGACAACAATGTTGCGGTCCTCTGCGTTCATAGCAGCGTCGAATTGTTCGATGTAGTGCGTGAATAGCTGCCAAGGAAGCAGATGGGTTGATACAGAAGACAAGGGTGAGAGGGGTGAGTTACAGGGCCGGTAATGTGGTATCTTTGGCGGGGGTAGTGAAAGCCACTTCCGCCGTCCTTATGGCAGCAACGCAAGCTGAACGTTTCAAACACAGTGGCAACACAACGGAAGCACTCATACTCACCGAGGAAGTCATCCAACCTTTGGCGGTGTTGCGCCAGTAGCACAACTCCTCTGGATTATAGTCGGGTCGGAAATCGTGGGGCCGTTTCGCCTTGGAGATGACGAGCGGGCGGAAGGCGTGCGAGCCCTCCGCGTTCACCAGG